GCCTCCTGAGTAGCTGGGATTACAGGCACGCGCCACCATGCCCAGCTGATTTTTTGTAGTTTTAGTAGAGACGGGGTTTCACCGTGTTGACCAGGATGGTCTCGATCTCTTGATCTCGTGATCCACCTGCCTCGGCCTCCCAAAGTGCTGGGATTACAGGCGTGAGCCACCAAGCCCGGCCCATGTGCCTACTCTAATACATAGGCATCCTGCTCATTTCAGGAGATGACGAGCTTCAAGTCACAGCAATTTCAGTTAACTTACTAAATTTCCTGAGGGAACAAGGGTTGTGGGTCTCAAAGAACAAACTCCAGTTCCTAGAACCTGAGGTAAAATAGGACACAGCCTGGTGCAGTGGCTCACGCCTGTAATTCCAGCACTTTGGGAGGCCGAGGCAGGCAGATCATGAGGTCAGGAGATCGAGACCATCCTGCCCCAACATGGTGAAACCCCATCTCTACTAAAAATACGAAAATTAGCTGGGCATGGTGGCACGTGCCTGTAATCCCAGCTACTCAGGAGGCTGAGGCAGGAGAATCGCTTGAAACAGGGAGTTGGAGGTTGCAGTGAGCCGAGATTGCGCCACTGCACTGCACTCCAGCCTGGGCAACAGAGACAATGTCTCAAAAAAAAAAAAAAAAAAAAAAAAAAAAAAAAAAAAAAACTAGAACGCCTAATTAGTCAAGGTGAACAAAAGATAGGACCAGAACGGATAGAAAGTATCGTATCTTTGCCTTCCCCAAAACAAAGCAGGAACTTAGGAAATTCTTAGGAGTGGTTGGATACTGTCATCTGCACTTGATCTTAGCCAAAAGGCCGAGAAGCGATTGTCGTCTGTGGATTGACTTTTATGCCTTAAAAACAAAGCTCGTGTATCAGAAACTCACTCAGGAAGGCCCATACTCCCTCCTCTGGACCCCATCAGAAATCCAACAGGTAGAAGAATTAAAACACCTACTTGTAACTGCCCCTGTTCTGGCCTTACCCTCAGAGCAGCCATTCCACCCTTTTGTTAATGTAAGCAAAGGAGTGGCCTTAGGGGTCCTCACCCAAAAACACGGAGGCCACCGGCAGCCCATAGCCTTCCTGTCAGAGATTCTTGACCCAGTAACCCGTGGATGGCCCGCATGTGTCCAATCCGTAGCAGCAACTGCCTTGCTAACAGAAGAAAGCAGGAGCATAACCTTTGGGGGAAACCTCATCGTAAGTGTCCCTCATCCAGTCACAACCATTCTTAATCATAAGGCAAGGAGATGGCTCACTGACTCAAGAATTTTAAAATATGAAGCTATCAGCTGGGCGTGGTGGCTCCTGCCTGTAATCCCAGCACTTTGGGAGGCTGAGGTGGGCGGATCACGAGGTCAAGGGTTCGAGACCAGCCTGACCAACATGGTGAAACCCTGTCTCTATTTAAAAATACAAAAATTAGCCAGGCGTGGTGGCATGCACCTGTAATCCCAGCTACTTGGGAGGCTGAGGCAGGAGAATTGCTTTAACCTGGGAGGCAGAGGTTGCAGTGAACCAAGAGCGCTCCATTGCACTCCAGCCTGGGCGACAGAGTGAGCCTCTGCCTCAAAATATATATATATATGAAGCTATCTTATTAGAGGGGAATAACCTAACACTAACCACTGACAATTCACTCAGCCCTGCTGCTTTCCTGTCGGGAAATCCAAACCAGGAAGAACCTGAGCATCAATGTGTAGATCTAATCAGTTAAACTAGTCAGACTGGGTCTAAGCGAAACTCCCTTCCAAACGGGGCATCACCTCTTTATAGACAGCTCCTCTCGGGTCATTGAAGGAAAAAGGTGCAACAGGGTACTCCATAGTTAATGGGGAAACCCTCATAGAGGTGGAGTCAGGAAGAATGCTAAATAACTGGTCTGCCCAAACATGTGAACTCCGCATTAAACCAAGCCTTAAAATCCCTGCAGAATCAGGAAGGAACTGTTTACACGGACTCTTAAGTATGCTTTCGGAATAGTCCATACCTTTGGAAAGATCTGGACTGAATGAGGCCTCGTTAAAAGTAAGGGCAAAGATTTGGTCCACAAGGAATTAATTATGCAAGTACTAGAAAATCTTCAGCTGCCAGAAGAGATTGCGGTTGTCCGTGTCCCAAGACACCAAAAAACCCATCTTTTGAAAGCCGGGGAAATAACCTCACAGATGAAGTAGCTAAGCAAGCTGCCTCTTCCCAAGAGGCACCATTTTCCATCTTACCCCTTCTCTTCCCCCTCCAGCTGCGATCCCCATCTTCTCTCAAGCAGACCAAGAGAAACTAAAGAAAACAGGAGTTATGGAAAGCCCAGAGGGAAGTGGGTGCCAGCAGATGGGAGGGAAATGTTCTCTAAATCCTTCATGAGGGAGGTATTGTCACGACTTCATCAAGGAACTCACTGGGGTCCTCAAGCTCTGTGCGATGCAGCCCTGAGTCTATGGGTGTGGAGATATAGACCCTTACCAGGCAAGTGGCGGATGGTTGCCCCGTGTACAGAAAACTAATAAGCCCTAAAGAAACAACCTCACAGGGGAAGAAACCCAGGATTGAGGCTGTTCCAAAGCGTCCCAAGTGACTGCACTGAAACGCCCCCAGTAGGCTGTCTCAAGTATTTGCTAGTAATAGTGGACCATCTCACCTACTGGGTGGAAGCCATACTTCCCAAGCACGACAGCCAGTAATGTAGTCAAAACTCCATTGGAACATAATATACCCAGGTTTGGACTAATAGAGCACATTGATTCGGACAATGGGACCCATTTCACCGCACACATCATTAACAGGCGGACCCAAGCACTAGGAATAAAATGGGAATATCACACTCCCTGGTACCTGCCCTCATCAGGGATGGTAAACAGAATGAATCAAACTCTAAAAAATCACCTAGCCAGGCTGGGTGGGCCCAGTGGCTCACGCCTGTAATCCCAGCACTTTGGGAGGCCAAGGCGGGCGGATCACGAGGTCAAGAGTTCGAGACCATCCTGGCCAACATGGTGAAACCCTGTCTCTACTAAAAATACAAAAAATTAGCTGGGTGTAGTGGCACTTGCCTGTAGTCCCAGTTACTTGGGAGGCTGAGGCAGGAGAATCACTCAAACTGGGAGGTGGAGGTTGCGGTGAGCCGAGACCACGTCACTGCACTCCAGCCTAGCGACAGTGAGACTCCATCTCAAAAAGAAAATCATCTAGCCAGATTAGTCTTGGAAACCCAGTTACCATGGACAAAATGCCTTCCCATTGCCTCACTAAGAATCCGAACTGCCCCTCAAAAAGATCTTGGCCTGTCCCCTTATGAAATGCTCTACGGGCTCTCTGATCTAAATTCCACGACTGACCTTCCTACATTTGAAACCCAGCTTTTTGTCAAAAGCTAAATATGTGGTTTGTCTCCTACCCTTTCCGCTCTCAGGACTCAAAGCCTCCTAGCGCAAACTCCACCTCGAATTCCCAGTGCACCAGCACCAGCTTGGAGATCACGTCCTTATCAAAAGTTGGAAAGAGGGCAAGCAGGAACCAACCTGGGAGGGGCCTTACATAGTCTCCTGACCACTGAAACAGCAATCCAAACAGCTGAAAAAGGATAGGCCCACCCCTCGGCCAAGTGCAGTGGCTGACGCCTGTAATCTCAGCATTTTGGGAGGCTGAGGCGGGTGGATCATGAGGTCAAGGGATCGAGACTATCCTGGCCAACATGGTGAAACCCTATCTCTTCCAAAACAAAATTTAGGTGGGTGTGGTGGCACGTGCCTGTAGTCCCAGCTACTCAGGAGGCTGAGGCAGGAGAATGGCTTGAACCCAGGAGGCGAGGTTGCGGTGAGCTGAGATTGCGCCACCGCACTCCAGCCTGGCAACAGAGCGAAACTCCACCCCTCGAATTCCCAACACCAGCCTTGAGATCACATTCTTATCAAAAGTTGGAAAGGCCGGGCGCGGTGGCTCAAGCCTGTAATCCCAGCACTTTGGGAGGCCGAGGCGGGTGGATCACGAGGTCAAGAGATCGAGACCAACCTGGTCAACACGGTGAAACCCCGTCTCTACTAAAAATACAAAAAATCAGCTGGGCATGGTGGCGCGTGCCTGTAATCCCAGCTACCCAGGAGGCGGAGGTTGCGGTGAGCCGAGATCGCGCCATTGCACTCCAGCCTGGGTAACAAGAGCGAAACTCCGTCTCAAAAAAAAAAAAAAAAAAAAAAAAGTTGGAAAGAGGGAAAACTCGAACCAACCTGGGAGGGACCTTACCTAGTACCCCTAACGACTGAAACAACAATTCAAACAGCCGAAAAAGGTTGGACCCACCCCTCGGCCAGGAGCGACACTCCCTCTCTTAAAAAAATAATAAGCCGCGCCGCGCTGTGGCGCACGCCTGTAATCCCAGCACTTTGGGAGGCCAAGGTGTGCGGACTGCCTGAGCTCAGGAGTTTGAGGCCAGCCTGGGCAACACAGTGAAACCCCATCTCAAATAATAAAAATAAAAATAATATAATAATAAAGGTCCCACCCCTTGCAAAGTCCTAGATTGTCACTCCAGGACCAACGGCCTCCAAACTGACATATCCAAAGGGGTTTAATCCTTTTCTTCCTTTAGCTACTCAAGGACATCTTATCGATGTAATCCCGATCACCCCCCCCCAACAATTACATTAGACGCCTGTCTTGCCATGCCCTGTGGGGATCTCCAAAGTCAGAGACAGCTAGCCTCTTCAGAGAAGTACCTTTGTCCCTCCAGGATAAATGACATTGCCCACAAAACTGACTCTTGCACTGAATGGGCATGAACCTGGCATTGGTGGTTTTGCTGTACTTGGGGAGATGTTATATAGACTGCCAAGTATCAGGGCTAGACCTCCTCAGAGGGGTGTACCACCCTAAAACCCTACTCCACAGCGCCAAAGGGACCACCCCCGCCAACTGCCAGTCTCACCATTGCATCCGGGACTTACCTCTATCAATACCCCGCCCTACACCCACTTTAGAGCGCTTTTGCAGCCCAGGAGCGGATGTCACTGGAGAGGACCCTATAGGCGTCTTTGAAGTGCGCTTTGTTCCTCTTCCTCTATCTTCCACTGTTACCCTCTCCGCAAACAAAATCAAACCATTTCTCACTTCGTGTCCAGTGACAACCAAACTAGCTAGTAGAAGTCAAGGACTTGAAGCAAACCCTAGCCACAGAAACTGGGTATCCAGTTGTAAATACAGCCAGGCGCAGTGGCTCGTGCCTGTCATCCACTTTGGGAGGCCAAGGTGGGCAGATCACCTGAGGTCAGGAGTTTGAGACCAGCCTGGCCAACATGGTGAAACTCCATCTCTACTAAAAATACAAAATTAGCTAGGCATGGTGATGGGCACCTGTAGTCCCAGCTTCTTGGGAGGCTGAGGCAGAGAATCACTTGAACCTGGGAGGCAGAGGCTGCAGTGAGCTGAGATGTCGCCATTGCACTTTAGCCTGGGCAACAGAGTGAGACTCCCTCTCAAAAAAAAAAAAAATTATATATATAAATGCCTGGCTGGAATGGATTAAATATTCCATTTACACCCTAAATAAAAGCCATTGTTATGCTTGTGCAGCGGGCAGGCAAGAAACCCAAATTGCTGCTTTCCCACTTGGATGGGCCAACCACCCAGGCATGGGCTGATCGGTAGCTACCTTCCTGCACCCTACAGCCTGGGGAAACAAGACATGCGCCACTCTTCACTATTTTCCGCAAAGGTCAGGAGCTCTATGGGACAGCCCCCAAGGGCTGTTTTACTTCCAGCTCTCCATGCCAGTTTTACCTCAGGTCTCTCATGGCAAGGGGAAATTTTGACATTTCTTCGAAACCTGATGGGATGTAGTGGGCCTAAACTTTTTCAAGAGCTAACCAATCAGTCGGCCCTAGTCCATCCCTGAGTGGATGCATGGTGGTATCGTGGGGAACCAATATTGGATACACTGCCAGGCGACTGGAGTGGCACTGGCGCTCAGATCCAATTGGCCATCCATTTCACCTTGGCATTTCATCAGCCAGACAGGGAGCCATTAACCTGAAGAAAAAGAGAAGCCCCTCATGGGTCCTTTGACCCCCGTGTTTACATAGACAACATTGGAGTCCCACGGCTGTACCAAATGAAGTCAAAGCTTGAAACCAAATAGCCTTTGAGTTCCAGTCTATCTTATTCTGGTGGTCCACTATAAACAAAAATGTAGACTGGATAAATTATATATACTACAATCAGCGATTTGTCAATGATACCAGAGATGCTATCAAAGGAATAGCTGAACAATTAGGCACTACCAACTAGATGGCCTGGGAAAATAGAATAGCCCTTGACATGATGTTAGCTGGAAAAGGGGGAGTCTGTATCATGATTAGGGTCCAATGTTGTACTTTTAACCCTAATGAAACAGCCCCCAAGGACAATCACAGAAGCCTTACAAGGCCTTACGACCCTAGCAAATGAATTAGCCGAAAACTCTGGAAAAGACGACCCCTTTACGGGCCTGATGGAAAGGTGGTTTGGAAAATGGGCGGGACTTGTGACCTCAATCTTTACCTCCCTTGCCATTGTTACAGGTGTTCTCATCCTTGTGGGCGGCTGTATCATACCTTGTATTCGTGGGTTAACCCAAAGGCTGATAGAAGCAGCTCTCACAAAAACCTTCCCCACCTCCCCACCTAGGTAAGCTCTTGCTCCTAGATAATCAACAAGAACAACAAAGCCAAATCCTGTTGAAGAAATTTGAAGAGGAAGAAATACACAAAACAGAAGAAGGGAAATTGTTGGGACAACTAAAGTCCTCTTAAAGACTCAACTTTTTCGGTCCTAAGTTGTAAATCAATCCTACCTCCCCCCTACTTCTGTTTCTCGCAAATCGCGCGTGTACCCTGTTTGGCAGAGTTAATCGGGATCAGCATAGATGGTGAGGTCCGACCCCAGCCAAGGGGAAGGACACAGGAACAGGAAGTGCGTTAGGATTAGAATCGTCCCTCCTCTGGTCGGTGTGCTCTTGCGATTGTAACGCGCAAGCAGCACCCCTCTGCGGAAGTAAAGGTGCCTTGCTGATAAGTTTTCTGTCTAAGTGCGAGTTTCTTTTGGCTACGCCACCGAGCACTGGTTTCAGATATAAGCAAGGGGAGGGATTCCATCAGGACAGAGGGCTAAAGAAGAGTGTATGCGGCCCAGTGGGTAATGTATGGTGGGCTCCCCCAACTCGTCTGCTCCAGGAAAAGGGGGTTCAAGAAGGAAGGGAGTTCTTGCCCCTCTCCCGCCTGGGTGTCCCTCCACCAGCCTCAGGGGCGTCGCGCCCCCTTCTCACCCCGTCACCCCCGGGTGTGCCGCCTTCCTTCGGTCTCACACCCCTCTCCTGTCGGCAAAGGCAGGAGCGGGGAGGGCGGGCCCTCTCACGCCGGAACTGGAGTCGTGCGGCATCCGGTTTCCGCAGGGAAGGCTTAGGCGGCCGTCCCAGCTTCTTGTTCCGATCCCGTTCTTCGGTTTGCCAGGCCGTGGTCGCTATGGAGGAGCCCGAGATGCAGCTGAAGGGGAAGAAAGGTGGTGTGGTCCTCTGGGTGGGACAGGGGATCCGGAATCTCGCGGCGGGGCGGCCTGAAAAAGGCCGGGCGCGGAGGGACCGGGCGAGGAGCAGTGATTGAATTGCCGTCAGTTCTATCAGCCGGGCCGCTGACTAGTTTTGAAACCTGCAGAAAGGCTCGGTGTCTAGTTTTGTCATCTGTAAAATGAGGGGTATAATTACCCGTCCCCCCAGGATTGTTTCAAGAATTCGGTTCATGAGGCTGGGAGTGGTGGCTCAAGCCTGTAATCCCAGCACTTTGGGAGGCCTAGGCGGGAGGATCGCTTGAGGAATTCTAGGGCTCAAGTGACTCCTGACTCGAGGTCAGGAGTTCGAGACCCCCAAAAAAGACAAAAATTAGCCGGACATGGTGGCGCACGCCTGTGGTACCAGCTACTCGAGTGGCTGAGGTGGGAGGATCGCTTGAGCCCGGGAGGTCGGGGCTGCAGTGCAGTGGGCTATGATCGTGCCACTGCACCCCAGGCTGGGCGATAGAGTAAGACCCTGTCTAAAAAAAAAAAAAAATCAACCTGATATTTGTAATGCATTGGAGGAATCCCCGGGGCGTGGTAATCAGTATGCTTGTCTTATTTTTCTTTTCTTTCTTTTTTATTTTGAAACAAGGTATCACTCTGTCGCCAGGCTGGGGTGCAGTGGTGCGATCATGGCTCACTGTAGCCTCGACCTCTCTGGCTCAGGCGATCCTCCTGTCTCAGCCTCTCGAGTAGCTGGGATTACAAGTGCACACCACCACGTTGGGCTAATTCTTTAATTATTATTATTATTTTTTGAGATGGAGTCGCTCTCTGTCACCCAGGCTGGAGTGCTGTGGTGTGATCTTGGCTCTCTTCAACCTCAGCCTCCTGAGTAGCTGGGATTACAGGCACACACCACCATGCCCAGCTAATTTTTCTGTGTTTTTAGTAGGGATGGGGTTTCACCATGTTGCCCAGGCTGGTCTCGAACTCCTAACCTCGAGTGATCCGCCTACCTTGGCCTCCCAAAGTGGTGGGATTACAGGTGTGAGCCACTTCGCCCAGCTAATCCCCTATGCTTTAAATCACCTCTAGATTACTCACATCTACAGTACATAATACAGGGCCTACACATGACTTCATTCACATCGATTCAAAGAAGTGCTTAGTTTAGAGCAAATTCAAGTTTTTATTATTTATTTATTTATTTATTTTTTAGAGACGGGGTTTCACCATGTTGGTCAGGCTGGCCTTGAACTCCCAACCTCAGGTGATCCGCCTGTCTCAGCCTCCCAAAGTGCTGGGATTACAAGCAGGAACCACCATGCCTGGCCTCAAGTTTTTATTTTTTTATTTTATTTTTTATTTTTTTTGAGATGGAGTCTCGCTCTGTCACGCAGGCTGGAGTGCAGTGATGCCATCTCGGCTCACTGCAGCCTTCACCTGTCTCCAGGTGGGACTAGCAGGTGCAGAGGCCTTGGGGTGACAGAGTGTTCAGAGCTGTGCCATAATGAGTAAAACAGCGATTGGTCACATATGGGTAATTTTTTTTTTTTTTTTTGAGATAGGGTTTTGCTCTGTTGCCCAGGCTGGAGTGCAGTGGTATGATCATGCATGGCTCACTGTAGCCTCCACCTGTCAGACCCAAGCCATCCTCCCACCTCAGACTCCTGAGTAGCTGGGACTACAGGTGTAGATCACCATGACCAGCATATTTTTGTACTTTTTTGTACAGGTGGAGTTTCACTACGTCTCCCAGACTGTTCTTGAACTCCTGGGCTGAATCCGTCCTCCTGCGTTGGCATTCCAAAGTGCTGGGATTACACCCGGCTTGGGTATTTAAATGTAAATTAATTAGACGTAAGTAAAATTAAAAGTTGAGCTCCTTAATCACACTAACCACACTGCAAGTGTTCAGTAGCCGCGTGCGTGCCTCTGGTTCCAGCTACTTGGGAGGCTGAGGCAAGAGGAGGATGACGAGCCCAGGAGTCAAGTCCAGCCTCCACAACGTCATGAGACCCTATCTCTAAAAAAACTGTGTAACATTTGTATCATCTCAGAAAGTTGTTTTGGGGGCTTTTGTTTGTTTGTTTTAGAAATAAGGTCTCATTCTGTCACCCAGGCTAGAGAGCAGTGACATGATCATGGCTCACCACAGCCTAAACCCCCTGGGCTCCAGTGATCCTCCTGCCTCAGCCTCCAGAGTAGCTGCGACTACCGACACGCTCCACCACGCCCAGCTAAT